ACATGTGGAACTCTAAGAAAAGTAAATTAGTGTTTAGAATTTCTAATGGGGTAGGGTTCCACTACTAGTGTTCTAGAATAGTCAATAGGAAAGTCTTATGGCTAAGATCCCAGGCTTTTAAGGCAGACACACTAGACCTCAACAAAAGTGAGGTCAATAGCCAAGCGAGGTTTCATTAGCCCTGGAGATTTTGTATGAAGTTTGATTGTATTTCGTCATTAGGAGGCCTTATGCTACACTACAGTTGTATTTGTTATTTCTATTGTTAGGGAGTTCTACGCCAAACTCCCCGAAACCTCTTCTAATTCGGTCTTTCTGAGGGTGAGTGGCTCTCTCCCCTACATATATTAATGCACTACTTTCGTTAGGAGATGTCTCAGGGAGTTTCTACTTTAGCTTTGTCCCCCCCAATGACTTTGAGCTTGATGAGATTATCAGGTTTTTAACTAATAACGAAGAAGTGTGTAAAGTGAGAAATGACAAAAAGGTCAATTTTTCTTCATCCAAACTCAATGCGCCTTCCAAAGCTTGGCATTACATCATCTCAGCCAAGCTCTTTCCTTTTACCAATCTGAGTGAGGTGACACATGAGAGAGCTTCTCTTAACTACTGTGTCCATACTATCCAAACTATAGACATTGATTCTCTTATTTATCATTCTATTAACAATGCTGCAAAGGGAGGATCTACTATAGGGTTAGGACACCCCTCTACCTTTTTTCCCTTTGTCAGCAGATTGGTGTTGGTTTTGAGGGGTGGGAGGAGCTATTACATCCATTAAAGCCCATTAGCAAGGCTACTGTGAGTTAGTATAATAAACATGCTATTTTCGGCATAGAGCTAGTTCTTCTAAGGCTCCTTCTCTGTCATCAACTTCATATTCTCACTATGCCTTCCATGAGCATGGCTTCAACGTATGAGCGCTTGAAGATCATATAGGATGATATTGCCATTACTCAGGCCCAAGTTTATAATAATCCAGACTATTTGGCACATTTGGATTGGTAGAATAAACGTTAAAGTGATCACGTAACTTGTGTTTATGTTGCTCAAATAGAAATGTATAGACATAATTAGTGATTTGGGGGTGACAAAACAGTGGAGTTCCCTGCATATCCTCCTTACCAGTTTTATGAGCAGAGCAAGGCAATGAAGGAGGATTTAGAGGAGGAAGTTGATGATGATGTTGCTGCTGATGATGATGATGAGGATGAGGATTAGATTTTTATCATGATATGGATGTCCTGATGTTTTTATTTTCCCTGTTGCAGTATTGCCGTATTTACTTTTTGTTCTGCTGAACTGGACATTTTCTCTTGCTACAGATGTTATGGATGTACTAAATCAGTATTTTTTGTTGCTCTGGACTATATATGAACTTATCTGTTGTAATATTGTGGTTCTTGATAGTGTAGATTTCACGTTAAACCTGTTGAATTAAGATTCACTTACTGTTGCATACTTCTTTTTTATGTTTATGCCTGTATATTTTTTATGACAGACTGATGTGGTAGAAATTATTTCTATTCTATTTTCTGCCTACATATATTTAAATTCAACATTAATACATATACTAAAAATCAAGTTTAAGGGGAGAAATTTTTAGCAGGTTAACTATATTTGTCATCATTAAGTTGCACTTAAATTTATCATGGTTTTAAAAGGTCTAGAGGTATGTGGTATTAACTTTAGATTACTTTAATTTTCATTATATGATTGAAATAGTTATTTGAAAATCTATGTAAATAAGACTGTTGTAGAGTTAAGTTATTTTGTAGAAAACATGTAACAAATTATTTTACTATTTATTGTAGAAAATAGTTGTACATTTGAAAAACTAGGAATCCATAGATTTACATTTTATAAAAATTGAGCCTCTATTAAGAACATATTTCAACTAATACTTTCAATATTTGAAAAAATTTAAAACTGAAGGAGAGTGATAAATTTTATTTTAAGGAGATGACAGTGACATTCAAAATTATTCGACCTATCGAGATACAGTAATCCTTCTATAGATGTGTTAAGGATTGAAAAAGATCCTAAAGAAAAAGAAAGTATATATATGCATATATATATATATATATATATATAAAGGGAGGTGAAGTTTGAGGAGCCTAATCAAAAATTGGTTTCCCTTGAATCTTTTTAAAGCAAAAGACTTTATTACAATCCTAAACTTGTTTATATTTCAAAAAGTATTAGTCAATCTTTATAAAAAGCATGCTCTACTTGTATTTTCTATATTTTATAAGGAACTTATTTTTGGCAACTATCAATGATTTTCAAAGTAGAAAGAAAATCAGGATTTCAAAGTTGAATATAATATGTTTGTAAGTTTTATGCTGTTTGTGATAGTTTTTTCTCCTATTCCGATTCTTTTTTTTTTTGTGGGTTTGTGAAATCCATAATGAGACGTTTGACCTTATAAATTTTCTTGAATGGTCGTTGCTTGGTCTCTCATTTGAAATCTCGATAAAGACAAACAAGTCCCTTCTTCTTTTCGTGGTTTTTTAGATATTTTTGGATGGCTTTTTTTTTGTGACACACACGAGTTTGGTATTAAGCGAGCTAAAGGCAAGCAAGAACCTTTTTTTTTCAATGTCTACTGTTTTCTTATAGTGACAGATTCGTTGGTTGGTATGCTAAGTTCTCTAAAACCTCACGCCTGCAAAAAACTGTAATTATTTACTTCTATTAGCAATTTCAACCTCTATTATGACTAAAAGAGTGTCTTTTGAATCATTCAGGAAAGATGAACTCCAAGATTTCAGGGACCTCCCGACGAGTGTTCTGCCACTGCGGACTACAAACTTCCCTACTAACATCACGTCGAGCATATAACTATGGGAGACAATTCTACAGGTGCCCGCAGGGCATCACGAGAAAGTGTGACTTCTTCCAATAGGCAGACAGTCTGGCAGATTCCACCTGCGATAGTGATCAAAGTTAAATGGTATCCCTGAAAGACGAAGTAGTTCATGACATATGTCGTCTGGATTTTAAAATTATTATTATCATATTTTTATTTTTAATTTCAATTTTAATTATTTTTTTTTTGTGTATATCTAATTTTTTATATTGTTCTAAAATGATTTTTTGCTTCTCAAATATTAAATATATTGTCATGACAGTTTTGTTGCAAACAACATTACTGCATAAGAGCAGAATGATACTTCATTGATAAATAACTGCAAAACAAATGTTTTTAAACTGCATAAACTAAGTAGTTTACCATCTTATGCAAATCAACAGTTGAACAACATATTATTAATAAGTTGCAGCTGCCCTCAAACATTCCCTTAAGATATCATTTTTAAAGTATAAAAAATATTCTCAATTTTTCAAAAGCCAACTTCACGAGTGTCATAGGCCACATGTTGAATGTGTTTTATTCTCTTAAAAGAGTTTTTGAATAAAATTTTAATATTAATAATATAACTATATTTATCAATTAATTAAATTTTAAGAATTTATTATTTCGAGTCAAATACAAGCTTGATTCAAACAATTTAGGATGAAACGAGTCGAGCACAAACTTGTTATTTATGTGCCAATTCGAGCATGAGCCAACACAAAAAAAAAAAAAAAAAAAAAAAAAAACACAAATTTCAAACAAACTGAACATTAACAAAACCTTAGGCGCACTCTAACTTAGACACATTTACACCCCTAATTGTGTTTGTACATTTTCCTTGCGAAAGATGTGGTAATACAAAGTTTCTCATATCCCCAAATTAATAGCATCATTAGCAACTTTGATTTCTATTTATATATTTTTTTTTCTTTTACATTTAAAAATATATTTGGTTGGCATAATTTTTATTTTTTCTATATTTTTATTTATAAAAATAAATCAGCTCTTAAAACACTCTTAATACCTATAAAATATTTTGAATATTTTCAAAAATAACTATCATAATTAAATATGTTTTAATTTAAATTAAAACACATAAAAATAAAAATAAATGCGGTCCCCAACATCCCCTAAACTGTCAAATATAATTTGTATTTGTGCAAATATATCCTCATATATATTAATTCTAGCGATATGGTTCATGGCCATAAAAAGAAGTTGCTGCCTCTTAAAAGGTTACCTAGTGGGGTGTCTAGTTGGTTATGCAAACTGATATAAAATATAGGTTATGCAAATTGATATAAAAATGCAACAGATGGTGCAACCAAACAAACAAAATATATTAAAAGTTCAATAAACAACCTTAGTTTTATGATACTACAACGAAGGAAAAGAACCTTTTTTTTTTATAATTTGTCTTTTGACAAGACATAGCAAGCAAATGAGAAGCAAATGCTACTAAATAAAAATTACTTTGTTTAATTCATAACATCTAAAGACAACTTGTGCAATTAAAAAAATTACACAAAATCCAAAAGGGTAGGCTGGGGATTCGGTCGTTTGTAAAGGTGTATGTTTAGGCTTGGAATTCATCCAATATTCTTGAAATTGATAGGCACTCGAGTAAGTCAATTTTCATTCCGCTGAAGAACTACAATAAGAATAAAATCAACAACAAAAGATAATAGATATTTATCGATTGGTTGGTAAAAGAAAGAAGAAAAGCTGTCAATTGGTGGGCAACATCTACCTCAAACGAATCTATAATATGGAAGCCTGAGCTGCAGTGTAAGTGACTTGAAAATAAGTTTTAAGTAAAGTTTCACGAATACATTAATAATTCATGATATTATTTCAGACAAATCATAAAGACACTACAAGGATAAGGAATCAAATTAGACAAGAAATAATAATTGCAACGTAGCGTGCTTGCTAAACAAAACGACAGTCAAACATCAGTCCTGAATTTTATTGACTGTCTATGCAGAATTACTTTAGAGAGACTGAAGACTTTTTCAAAAAAGCAATATCAGCTGTGTTGAAAATGAAATCAGTCGGTGGAAGACAATCACGCCATACTTTAAGAGTTTAGGATACAAGTAACAGAACGACTTGAAATTTAAATCCATGTTAAGCTATCGAATTGAATGCACCCAACACGAAAAAAATAGCTAAAACATAAAGACAAAGTGGCTTGAATTTTCTTTTCCCTTAACAATCTGAAAAACTAACAGGCGCTCACCAGACCCAAGTAAAATGGGTGTATCATAACAGAGCAGAAAACTGAAAGAAAAAAAAACAACCACTGACCGTAGGTGATAGCTGCTTTTTGACCACGATATGCACTTTATATGCTTGCAGGGGATCAGCAGAGAAACTAGGCTTCCATTCAGCAAGGTTAACTACCAAAGGGGGATACTCGGCCCTTTTTGTCTGACTAAATCTTTTTATTTTTTTCTCTGGAGCACCATAGCCTTAGAAATTCCTTCCTTTACTCAAAAGGTTCAGTGACTCTGAAAACTCTCAACAACACTTTTCCACTGCAATGCCTGCTGCTTCTTATCCTCAAATGATAATACCTTCTTTGGCTGCAAAAGAAAAAAAAAATGAAACCAGCATAATATAGCTCAACTCAATGTTGGAGTATAAATACTCTCCTGGGGTAGGTCATACAAGCTAAGAAAAATACAAGTACACTCATGCACAAGCATATAAATTCCCAGTATCTATTAGTAACTTTACATCTTTAATTGAACTGAATAGACACAAAGTTCATGTAAATTGTGTAATTCTAGTTCGAGAAACATACAGTTGAAATCTTGAAATGAGAGGGACTCGACACATGAATGCTGATGTCTCCCGAGTTATCAGACCAAATGATATTTCCCTTTGACGTGACCTTGGAGGGATCTACACACAGTAACTTTGGTTTATCAGTCAGGATCAACTGCACTCTCTTGTTAGTAATTTTCTGTAGTTTCTTCAGTTTCGAGGTCATAACAATGCTCTCCCCAGGCTCCAGGAGATCTTGCCTTTCGTTGGAACAAGAGGAGTAAATGTATGCATAACAGAGATTAGAAAATAGTTTAGATAAAAATTTATATAATACAGAATGAATAGTTCGGATTGCAACAAAAGAAAAAAGAATCAAATTAGGAATATGTTCAGCATTTTATGTAATGAACAAACAAAAAGGACACACTTCCTCGATAAGTTTTTGATGAAAGTAGAAAAAGGTGAGATGAAGAAGAATATGTAACATTTTCAGATACCATTTGGAGTCAAATGAGTCGATATTAGCAAGTTTTGATACATTTGATTGTGTCTCAGAAGATGATGTAACACTGCTAATATGTCCAACAACAGGTGGCAACTGATGCACAAAGAGACCTCCTACATTTGATAAGTTCCATGTGGAATCCTGTAAATCATCATCATCATCCACCACCTGAAACCTGAGCCTGTTAGTTGGTTCCAGCAAACCAGGTTCTCAGCATAACGACAAACTCAGAACAGATGAAAATACGCTATGGATAAAAACTGTCAGTACATTTGATCCCGAAGCAAGCTTAGGTGCTGCCGCTTTTCTCAAATTTTTCCAGTCGATTCCCTCAAAGAAAGGATGTGCCTTGAGGGCAGCATAACCTTCAGGTCCAGCACCAATTCTTTTCATGGGTTCTATGTCCTGTGTGAAATAAGGAATATTTGTAAGAGAAAAATGAAGAAAGTCATCTCCCACGAGGAAAATATATTGTTGTAAAATCTTTAACTGACAAAAAAAATATATTGGGAAAGAACTTCTATGATCAGAAAGGTTATGTGTGTGGCCATGATAGCTCATTACTTTTAAGAAAAGACAGTTGGAGAGTTGTAAAAATGATACTGCATGACTAATGAATAGAAAATTTCTTAAATATTTTCATTTTTCACCTTCACCTCTCCGCCAAATAGCTTGTGGTTTCAAAGAGGTTTGACTACTTAACTCATTTAAGTTCCCGTTCAAATATATCTTATAATCACTACAACACAACAGTTTTTAACATCAGAAAATGCAGAAGGAACAAGGGAAAGACATAGTGGTTGATATGATTAAACATTAAAGGATAATAATATGAAAAGGGTTATTCTGCTTGAGCATAAGAGATTAATAGCATAAAGAGGGATAGAGCTGTTAATTAAAGGTTTTAGAAAAAGTTTCTACGATTACAATATGACGTGAAGTCATCAATTAACCAATCTGATGTTATTTCTGGCAAAAATAAAGACATCAGAGAATGGGCATGATGTTAAGTATGCTGCCAATGCATGGTTCATAGTAAGCTGAAATCGTCACTATGAGCAAGTTATGCACTTCAGTAAAAATTCTACTGCAAAATAAACATTATAGGTATTCATGTATAAGCATGAAAAGATAAAATATGTCATCTTCGTGAGGTTATTTGCATAGCTGTGCAATATACAATCCTTATAATTGCCATTTGTAATAGTATTATAATCCTTAAGGCTATTTTAAATCTGTCACTCAAGTATGTCAACTATCTGATTGGGTTGCTCAAAGAGTTAAGAATTGCTTTGCTTGGACATATGATAAAATGTCAGGTTTATCTCTTGATGTCATAGTCCATAGAATTGAGGTGCAATCCAAGTTTATCCCCGTCAAGCGAGCTGTCAGACGAATGCAGTTTGAGGTTGAACAAGTCATAGCAGAAATCAAGAAATTGTTGGAGATTGATTTTGCCAAGGAAGATAAATATCCAACCTGGTTGGCTAGTATCATATTGAATAAGAAGAACGACCAAATCTACATCTTTATTGATATTTGGTGTCTAAATAAGACATGTCCTAAAGACGAGTTCTCATTGCCAATATCAACATTGCCTCATCCCATGTATTTTTATCATTTATAGATGGTTAAGGTGGGTAAAATCAAATCCAAATGGTCCATGAGGATGCGAAGCTCGCGGCGTTCATAACGGCAACTGAAATCTTTTGCTAGAAGGTTAGATGTCTTTCGGCCTTACACTTATGCTACTTACAGCTGGCAATGACCCGAATCTTCGACGAGTTTTTTCACAAACATGTAGAATGCTATCAATCTACTAGTTATATCTAAATACAAGTTCGATCATCTTAATGATTTGAAAATTATTTTCGAACAATTGTATTGTTACAACCTGAAAATAAACCCATTGAAATACGTCTTTGATATAGTTTTGGGCAAACTTTTAGGTTTCTTCGTCAAGCATCGAGGGATAAAAATTAATCCCGACAAGAATAAAGCTATATTAGAAATACAATCTCCTAGACTTTATTTCAATTGAAGTCTTTTCAACACATGTAAGTATATCTGAGATGCTTGATTTGTTATCTATCTGGCAGGTGTCTGCCGTTTGTGATGTTGATTAAGTATTCCAAATTCATTTAGAATGATAAATGTCAACGTTCACTCGAGTGTAACCAACAAAATTTGATGTCACCTCCAATAATAGTTGCTCCTATCTTGGGGAAGTCATTAATCCTGTACATCGCTGCACTAAATGAATCCATCGAAGTCCTGTTAGCTCAAGTCAATGAGGATGTTAAGAAAATATGTTATTATTTAAGCCATCATCTCATCTCAATGGAAGTCAAGTATCCATTGAAAAACATTGCTTGACAATAGTTTTTGCAGCCCAAAAGCTTCATACATTATATGTTTTTTCACTGAGTGAACTTGATTTCAATGGTCAATCCCCTACAGCACATTGTAACCCAACAAACGATTACTAAAGAGTTGGCTTTTTAGCCGATGATAATGCTTCAATTTGATATCACTTATATTCCTTTATGTGTCATGAAAGATCATGCTGTCATCAATTATCTAGAGGCACACACACTTCTTGCTAACACACCCCTAAATGATAACCTTCCCGATAAGCAAGTTATGAGTTTAGATGGAAGAGTTAAGCCTTGTCGTGAGCTATATTTTGACAACATCATATAGGTCCTGGACTGCCCAATTTTCGATTCTCAACAAGGTCAGTATCTAGTTGATATTCATCAACCCCAAAAAGGGAACGCAGCGTTATTCTTATCACCTTTCAGAGATCTGTACAAACCAAGAGGTTGAGTATGAAACTTTGATTATTGGTTTAAAACTAGTGATCTTGATAGAACTTAGGATATAAAGATCTACGAAGACTCAAAATTAGTCATTAATTTAAATCATCGAGATCTTTAAGGTCTGCCCATGCTTCTTCAGTAGTACACAATTAAGTGTCTCAAGGAAGTTCCAACTATGACTCCTCATCAAATTTCCCGTGTCAAAAAATGTCGTAGCGAAATCACTAGTACACAATTAGGTGTCTCAAGCAAGTTCCAACTATGACTCCTTATCAAATTTCCCGTGTCAAAAAATGTCGTAGCGAAAGCTTTAGCCAAACTTGTGAAGGAACTTGCATGTCATAAGAAAAATTCTATTTCTATAAAGCTGCAAAACCGTCATTTCATCTCTCTCATAGAGTTTGAAATATATTAATTGATGTAATGTTTAGGTGCTGATCGCCCTTTCTAAGGATGACCAAATTGATGATTGGAGATGGGCTTTCATCGATTATCTTCAAAATGTTAGTCTCTCTGGTGACATTTAACTTGCATATCAAATAGGGAAGTGAGCTTTGTTCAATTCCCTATTGATGGCACCTGTGTCACTGGTCATTCGACCAAATTTGGTTGTGTTGTCTTAGCAAACACGAAGCCCAGAAGCAAATGGTCGAGATACACTTCAGGTTGTGTTGTGTTGATTAGTCTGGGTTACTATTGGTCATTGATGATGAACGACTGCATGATTATAGCACCCCATTTTCATCAATGTTAAGTGCAAGATGTAATTTTATATCAGCCGCCAAATATTCTACATCTTGCTATAGTCTCATGGCCTTATAAGATTTACTATACAAATATTATTGCTCCTATTAACCCACCTTCTTCCAAAATTTACAGGTTTATACTCGCGTCAACCGACTACTTCTCAAAATTGGTGGAGGTCATCTTATTACGAGAAGTCAAAACTCATCACGTAATTCATTTTTTCAAGGAACATGCCATGTGTTGATTTTATGTTCTTAGCAGTATCATATCCAATAATAGAACAACATTCAAGCGCACCAAAATCAATAATTTTGTTCTTTGACATAATATTAATGGGAGATAATCAACTATCTATTACTCAAGTGCTAATAGGCTGGTCAAGGCCTTTAATAAGGCCCCTGTTCAAATTTTGAAAGAAATATTAGATGAGAACAAATATCAATTGCATGAAATGTTAATCGAATCTTAGGGGCCTACAAGATAACTTATAGGACTATGACTAGGTCCACTCCATTTGCTTTGGTCTACTGAGTTGAGGTTATGTTAACCATAGAAACTCAACTTTCCTTACTCAAATTACTATCACAAACGACATTATAAGTGAATAAAACGCTTGATTGCACTTAACAAAGCCTGGAGGTTTGTAGGGTAAATGTTTAAAAGCACAACAAAATCTCAAATTATACCAGGCACAAATGATTCAGGCACATGAGAAGCTATTTTATTCCTAGATCCTTCCGAGCAGGCGACTTGATTGTTGTTCTAAGAAGGCCCATTCTGGCACATCGCCGATTGGGAGGTAAATTTGAACCAACATCAAAAAAATTGTTTGTTATGGAAAAAATCTACAAAGAATGCTCTTATCAACATGTAAATTCTAAGGGTGATCGCCTAATGCCTTTTGTCAATGGCATTGTCTGAAAAAATATTAAGCAAGATTGGTTTTGAGAATAAGTTTCATTAACACATTCCATTTTTGATATGCACACCTAAGCTAGTTGAGTTTTTGTGTAAAATAAAAAAAAAGGAAAAAAAAAAAAGAGGGAATGTAAATTCAAATCTTAAGGTTTAAATCAAATTCATACTTCAAATGCAATTCAAGATCAAAATTAAGGTTCAAATTCAAGTTAAATTCAAGCCAAATTCAAAAAAAGGTGAAGAAGTTATTTTATAAATATCCTCTTCAACCTTAGTAGCCGAAAGAATAAGGAATTGTCTATCTTTAAGGTGAGGGGAGGACTTGGGGAATAACTCAATACCAGCAATATATGTAGTGTCAATTTTCATAAGGTCTGTCTCCCTACGCAAGCGATCATAACTCCTCTTGGTCATTCCATTCTACCTCTAAGTATTGATGAAACGCACAACAAATCGGGAAGAAGATCCCACCTCGAACCGTGGGATAACCAAATCATCAAATTTGAGTATCATAATTTTATTGTTTAATCACTTATTTTGTGGATGACCCAACCGAGAGATCATGGGAGGTCGAGCAACCAGTCCAAAAATCGGAACTAGCAACAACAATAAGAAGTGATGGAACCTCGGTAGCCTTCATCCTTAGGGAGAAAAATAGATGTCAGATAGAAGTGAGAATTCCAAAAAGGGCACCTAAACAAATATGAATTGTCAATTTCTAGTGGCAAGCATTGGCCTAGTAAAGCTCATCTTGAGGTCATCAAACCCCAAATCATATCAGATCACACTTCATTCAGTAAGTGGCCTATGGACAAGTTCAGGATTTGATCGGAACGAGAAAATGAGATGTGGCCATTATCTAGAATAAAATCAGAAGTTCACAATAAGTCACTTAACAAAATTGAATTTTGATTTGGT